GAAGTTTTATTTTTAAGCAGGAAAAAAAAATCAGATGCACAAATACAGGACAAGGGACACCTTGCTTGGTAGCAATATGTGTGCAAAGGATCTAAGAGTGTTGTAATTGACCACAAGCTCAAGATGAATCAACTATCTAACATGGCAGTAAAAGTGAAAACTAAAGCAATTTTGGGCAATAAAAGTAGAAGTATAAAGGAAGAATAAAGGGAAGTAATATCATCACTTTATTCTTCATCAGTCAGGTCTCAACCCGAATACTATGTCCAGTTTGGGGCAGTTTAAGAAGCATATTGAGAAGCTGGAAAGGGTCTGGAGCCCATTCCCCTGAGGAATGGTTGAGGGGTCTTAGGTATGTCTTGCCTACAGAAAAGAAGACCGTGAGGTCGTATGATGACCATCTACAAATATTCGAAGGGTTGTAATGTAGAAGATGGCACAGATTTTCTACAGAACAGGGCCTGAACTAACAGATTGAAATTGCAAGGGAGCAGATCTTGACTAAACACAGGGAAAATGTTTGTGGGAATACAAAGGATTATCTCAATAGGATATAGACTCTCCTTCACCAAAGCCTTCTGAACAGAGGTTTGACAGCAGTCTTTCAGGGGTCCTTTTAGCAGTGCATTTCCTGCATTGGCAGGGGACAGGGTTCAATGATTTTTGAGTCAGTTCTATGATTTTCAGAACAGGTGCTTTTAAGGAATAAGGAAGCAAACTAAGAGATATGAGGTCCCTTGAGGGATGGGATGCAGCAACACATTTTGATGGAGGAACCTCTGTTCTTCTTCGAGGTCAGCCACCTGAGCTCCTATAAGCATGTGTCTGATTTATGTACTTGCTGCAGTTAGCCAAGGTCCCAAGGGAAGAAGAGGCTCAAAATAAAATGTAGGTCTCTTCCATCTGAAGAAGGATTGGAAGAGTGCTAGCAAGCCTTTCTACTTAGAAATCTAAGAGCGCAGCAAGTACAATAGCTATTGTTTGGATCTGTCTATGGCCTTGGGTCATGGGGAATGGAGGCACAGATAGAAAACAAGCCAAAATTCTGGAAAGGGACCCAGTTCACAAGCATCTCAAGCTGAGTAAGTTACACTTGAAGGGGGGGGGGGATACAATAGCCATGGGATTTTCAGAATGTGTGGGCTAGAGTCCCCAGATGTCTGTAGGATTTCTCCCATACAGATTTCCTGGAGCCTTAATCAAGAAACCCAAGTCCTAACGGGTGTTTTCAAGTTCTTGAGCTAATAAATTTGGAAATGGCGTCCATTTTCATCTTCTAGAACAGGCTGGGAAATTGGAAGCAATGGGGTGAGGCTAAGCTCCATGAGAGCTACAAGGGATTATGGGCCTGCCAGTTTTTTGAGAGGCTTCCTGTGCAGAGTCCAATGGGCAGAGACTACTAAACCCATAATCCCTTGCAACCCTCACAGAGTTTAGCTCTGCCCACCCATTTCCTCTGTCTTCTCCATAGGGTGAAATCTGTCAGAATCTGCATTCATCGCCAGCCCTTTCTGAGAACCAAACTGGGGGAACATTTTTTTTTTTACCATAATCACATTCCACGGCTTGAGGTGACTTTTGCTTCATAATATTTTTTTTCCAAGAATTTAATGCATTGCACTACCTGGTTTCCAAAAAATCTGTCTTCGTGGCTGGTATCCTCCTGATCCAAACTCAGTAGGAGAGGCTTCAAATACAGAAGATCTTTCAGACCAAGAAGAACAGTTAGTTTCAGAAGCAGGAGCTGAGAGAGCGCTACCTCCTTAGACCGTCCCCTTCCCTATAAAACCCCATCAGGCCAGATCCCAGCATGTTAAGGAGGCCTCATGGCCATCCTTGGATACCAGCTTTGAAGTCAACGCCCCACCTCAGGTCAAAGGCTTCTAAAGCAAGCAAAACTATGGTAGTTGAAGAGCAAAAAGGATTTATTCACTGCAGGGCAGAGCTCACAGCCTGTGGGAGGGGGGGAAGCACATCCCTTCTTAAGGCTCAGATAGCTCAACATGACATAAAGGGGAATTCTTAATAACTGGCTAAAATAGCAGGATTTTACACCTCCCTCCATTGGCTTTCTTTTCCGCTTGGTCATTTGGAGGTAAGCATAGGCTTCATTTCCAGTGATCAGGCAAAAACAAAAGAAAAATTAAAAAGTTAAGTAGACAAAAAACAACAACAACACCCCCCTATTTTCAGCTATGGCTGCTTGAACTGGCTGACCACACATATTTTATTTATTTATTTATGAGATTTTTACCCCACCCCTCCAGACCATGTCTACTCGGGGCGGCTTACATAGATAAAAACAGAATAATGTAAAATATATAAAATCATAAAAATACGATTTTTACAATTAATTAATAGCCCGCAGGTCACTTTTTGACGTCCAGACACTAGTGTAATTAGCCCAAACCATCTAAAATATGAGGAATCCATTGGTTACAGACTTGATCTCACAGTGGAATTTAATATGGTGCCGTTTCATAAGGACCTGCCCCCAAATTATGCAATTAACTCTTTCCTGACCTTCCACCCAGTATAAATTCTTGTCTTACCTAATGACCCAGTCATACTGCTCTTTCTTAAACCACAGGGGGATCCTGGAGGATCCTACCTCTGCTTACACAAACCATATCCCTCTATCAAGCGCACCACCAACCGGCTCTGGAGGAAGGTGGGAACTGCAGTAGGATAATGTGTTCACCAAGGACAAAAATCAAGTTGCAATGGAAGTCTTCCCAGAGGAGAAAGAACCAGCTGGGTATCTGAACCCCATTTGATTTGTGCTGATTGTGTCAAGCCTTGGTAGACCTTGGCCATCAGAGCTTTCTGATGGCCAAGGGGAGGGCTAGGAAAAGAATTTTGTGTGAAGAATCTCCCAAAAAAAAAAGCCCCACCTTGATCTTCAGCTTCTAAATGTCAGACTGAAACGTAATATTTTTGGGAATCCATGATGTCTCTTCTATTCTGCATTAGTACCGTGTTTCTCCTAAAATAAAACAGGGTCTTATATTCATTTTTGCTCCAAAAACACATTAGGGCTTATTTTCAGGTTTTTTTCCCATGTACAACAATCTACATTTATTCAAATACAGTCACGTCATCTTCTTCCGGTTGCTGCACAAGGGAAGAGGGCGGGCTTACACTTAACTGGGGCTTATTTTTGGGGTAGGGCTTATATTATGAGCATCCTGTAAAATCATACTGCTCAGCTCTTGCACACTCAAGCCTGTGATCCTTTAGGGAGCCAATCCATCTCGTATTGGGTCTTCCTCTTTTCCTGCTGCCTCCAACCTTTCCTAGCATTATTGTCTTTTCCAGTGAATCCTGCCTTGTCACGATGTGACCAAAGAAGGACAGACTCCATTTCATCATTTTTTTAGTTCCAGAAGAAATTCAGGCTTTATTCGATTTAGGTTTTGAGTACACCCTCATGATCTTCTATCCAATATATCCCACCATTGTGGTACCTGCATGTTTTACTCTTGTGATCCTAAACAATGCAAACCCTTTTCTCATGAAATCTTGCCAATCTTTATCAGAATATGCTTTCTTGCTTCTTCCCAGAGTCCTTCAGATATTGTGCCTTAGCTACACCTTTCAATTTTACTTTCAAATACTACTTAAAAATAATAATAACACCCTGCAATAACTTTAGGTAACCCCAAAGGAAATTGTTCTAATTTTATATAAATTTGTTTTGATGTCCTTCCGAATTGCTACAGACGTTTTTGTCTCAGTGGGTAACATTTGATGGAAACTCAGTGCTCCTAATAAAATGCTACCTTCTCTGTCTATGAAACATGTTCAGAGAAAGAGCATAATAACTGAAAATTTTCTGCTGGGTGGAACATCATGATCCTTTATTTTAACCTTACCCATGGAAGAAAAATCACAAGGTACATATTTGCTTCAAAGCCACAGGACAGAGCATTTGCTGTTACAAGAACCAGCGATCTTCCAAACAATTCCAAATTATTTGTTCTTCGAAACTTCCAAACTATTTGTTCCAAATTATTTGGTATTAATTATGGCTAGCCCCCATTGCTTGTCCCAGCTCCCGCCAACCTAGTGGTTCAAAAGCATGCAAAATGCAAAAATGCGAATAGATAAATAGGTACCACCTCGGTGGGAAGGTAAAGGGCGTTCCGTGTCTAGTCACGCTGGCCACGTGACCACGGAGGATTGTCTGCAGACAAAATGCTAGCTCTCTGGGTTGGAAACGGAGATGAGCACCGCCGCCTAGAGTTGGACACAACTGGACAAATTGTCAAGGGGAACCTTTATGGCTAGCTCAGTGAGTTATGTATCTTGCTGTAGAGCCAGAGGTTGGGATTTTGATTCCCCACTGTGCTTCCTAGGAGAATAGCCAGCCTATGTGGCCTTGGGCAAGCTGCATAGACCCAGAACATCCCCAGAAGAAGGGAATGAGAAACCACTTCTGTGTGTTCCCTATCTAGACAACCCTGGAAAGGGTCGTCATAAGGCAGAACTGACTTAGCAGCAGAGAATTGTTATTATATCTAGAAAATGCTGGGAAGAATCACCATAAGTCAGAATTGACCTGATGGAAAAGATTGTTATTAACCATTACCCACTCCAAAGCAATGGTGTAGTGTTAAATTCTGAAATGCATGCACTCATATCTCAGTGGTTCCCAGCCTTGGGTATCCAGACGTTCTTGGACTGCAACTCCCAGAAGCCTTCACCACCACCTCTGCTGGCCAGGATTTCTGGGAGCTGCAGTCCAAGAACATCTGGGGACCCAAGGTTAGGGACCACTGCCATAGCTGGGTGCCCAAAGAGAGTGAAGAAAATCTTGGGGAACTGTGTTGATCCATCCTACAAAATCAATTCAAAATGCTTTCGCCTCCATTTGGATCTGGGCTTTCGCAAAGGCAAAATCACACCACTCCCATATACTTCGCGTTGCAATAGCTTGCCACCCTATATTTTGACTAGGAGAACATGCTCCTTTTCCTCGTCATGTCAGGATCTGGCCCATGCCACCCTGGCAGCTGCAGGATCGGGGACAGCCTGACCCAAAAGTGGCCGAGTGTTTGCAGGCTCAGGCCCTGGCCTGTGTTGCACCTGATGGGCCACTCATGAGGCTCACCTGGAAACCTGGAAGGAAGGGCTATTTAAGGAAGGGTTCTCCCTCCCACAACTGGTTTTGACAACTAAGGGCTTTGGCTGTGCTAGGCTGACTGCCTTGGTGCTCCTGAGCCTTTGTGTTCCAGTATTTCTACATCTCTGCTCTTGACTCCAGTGTTCCTGCATCTGCATCTGTTCCTGTCTTGGCCCCTGATCTTGCGTTTGCTTGCTTCCTACATCTCTGACCCTGTTCTCTGAGTCCTGTGCTCCTGCCTCTTCTTGGTCATGATCGACTGTGCGGTGAGTGCTTTTGGACTTGATCCTCTGTGTGGTGGACAGGGTCCCAGTGCCCTTGCCCCTGGGGAGGAGAGGCTGCCTGGGGTCTCTTGGACTGTGATGAATCAGTGAGAAAACTGGAGTGCCCACCTTCTGCTAACATGATGGTTGGTAGTAAAAAAAGGGGGGCTTTGACCCTCCACTGGCTGGTTCCAGTAGCAGGCGTTCTTGCCTTGGTTTTCAAAGTTGAGCTTCCACCCAGTTTGCACGATGGATCTCCCTACTTCTGCATCCCCAGGGAAGTTCCAAAGGAATCAAGAGGCTGGTTGGCCAAGACTTTGTAAAGGGTTGATGGCCACTCATGGCCAGTGTGGGTGAGGGAGAGGTGCCTTCCCTTCCCCCCTCCCCAAAAGGGGGCAGATGGATGTCAAAAAGAATATGGAGAGGACTGAATCTGAAAAGGGGGGTGGCGGTGGAGGAGGAACTAAGGTGCCCCCATCCTGCCCCAGGTGTGCCTGGAATTTCTCCTAGCTGAATGAGATGATTACGAATTCCATGGCTGTCTTGCTTCTTGCGAACACGGAGATGCTCAGCAATTTTTTTTTATCATTTTAATTTTTTTAAAAAAAAATTGGCCAAGCCCTCGCACACTTTCTTTGAATTGGTCGGGGAGGATAGCCACTGAACCACGAGACCAGCGTGGTTTCCGATCTGCAACCTTATTGGGTTAAAAGGAGGGGAGACCCCCCCCTAAAAAAAATCCCAAGAAAGCCTCGAACACGGAGATGCTCAGCAATTTTTTTTTATCATTTTAATTTTTTTAAAAAAAAATTGGCCAAGCCCTCGCACACTTTCTTTGAATTGGTCGGGGAGGATAGCCACTGAACCACGAGACCAGCGTGGTTTCCGATCTGCAACCTTATTGGGTTAAAAGGAGGGGAGACCCCCCCCTAAAAAAAATCCCAAGAAAGCCTCGTCTTTCTCATGCCCACCCTTTCCCCCTCTCATGATCCCTGAGCTTGGTGGGGGGGGGGGCGTTAGATGAGAG